GCATGCTCTCTAATGCTGGTTTGTCAAAAGACTTTTGGGCCGAGGCAATCAATACAACTTGTTATTTGATAAACAGATCTCCTTCTACAGTAATTGATTTTAAGACTCCAGAAGAGGTATGGTCCGGTGCCCCTGCTAATTACCCTCATTTAAGAGTATTTAGTTGTCCTGCTTATTTTCATGTTAATGATGGTAAGCTTGAACCTAGAGTAAAGAAAACTATCTTTCTAGGATATGCTACTGGGGTGAATAGATATAGGTTGTGGTGTTCTGATTCCAAGTCAACTAAGTTTATTATTAGTAGGGATGTTACTTTTGATAAAAAATCTATACTTCACCTGAGAAAGAAGTTTGTTATTGACACTATAGGTACTGAAAAGGAGTCTAGCAAGCAGGTGAAGCTAGAGAGCTCAGCTTCAAAGAGAGTGCTTGAGGGTGCTCATGTTGAACCAGTTGATACTGCGGAAGGTTCAACTTCAGATACTGATACACCACAAGAGAAACAGTATAATATTGCCACCAGGAGAGCAAAAAGGTAGATCCGACCTCCTCATTACTATGCGGACATGCTTGCTTATGCTTTGAGTATAGCAGAATCGATTGAGGTTCTAGAGCCTTCTACTTATAAGGAGGCTATTAGTGGTAATGAGGATGAAAATTAGACTATTGCGATGACTGAAGAGATGAAGTCTCTTCACAAGAACCAGACATGGGAGCTAGTGAAGCCACCAAGGGGACAAAAGATCGTTGGCTGTAAATGGATCTTCAAGAAGAAAGAAGGAGCTCTAGATATAGATTCTGTAAGGTACAAGGCACGCTTGGTAGCTAAAGGCTACATTCGGACCAAACGTGTAGACTTCAATGAAGTATTCTCTCTGGTTATAAAACACACCTCAATCCGCGTGTTGCTTACCATGGTTGCTCATTTTAATTTGGAGCTTGAGCAACTTGATATGAAGACGGCTTTTCTACATAGTGAGCTTGAGGAGCAGATCTTTATGCATCAGCCAGAGGGTTTTATTGTTGAAGGTAAAGAAGACCATGTGTGCAGGTTAAAAAAAATCTCTTTATGGGTTGAAACAGTCTCTGAGGCAGTGATATTTGAGATTTGATACTTTCATGTTTGAGCATGATTACTCTAGGAGTAAATATGACAGTTGTGTTTATCATAAAAACTCAATGATGGTTCTTTTGTGTATTTGCTTTTGTATGTTGATGACATGTTGATTGCAGCTAAAGATATGTCAGAAATCAACGAGTTAAAATCTCAACTCAAACATGAGTTTAAGATGAAGGACTTGGGAACAGCAAAGAAGATTTTGGGGATGGAGATTCATAGGAACAAGCAAGAAGGAAGTTTATTCCTATCTCAGAAGAAATACATCAAGAAAGTGTTGGAGAGATTTAGCATGCTTGATGTCAAGCCTGTGAAGACTCCGCTTGCTACTAATTTTCGTCTTTCAGCAGATTTGTCACCTCAGAGTGAGGAGGATGAGCAGTACATGTCTTGTGCTCCTTATGCGAGTGCAGTTAAAAGCATTATGTATGCGATGGTCTACACCGTCCAGATACTTCATACGCAGTCAGTGTTATGAGTCGGTACATGGATAAGCCTGATAATCATATTTTTATTATAATTTTATACCCTTATTATCTATTTTACATGAATAAATATACCAGTAATAATTATTTTTATCTTTAATTGTAGGTTAATCAAGAATAAAACCTAAGATCTCTCCTATCAACAAAAACCTATGAATTAAATAAAAAACACAAAGCAAGAGCCAAAAAGCCCAAGCCCAGAATCAAGCCAAGTAGCTTGTAAAGCCGGAGAAAATAAAAAATCAAATATGAAAAAAAAATAAAACGATTAGCAGCGCAACTTGTTGCCTGCTTATCATCATCACATGTATAATATTTCTCAATTATGATATTTTTATGATTTTAACTGATAAAAAGATTTGAAAAAAAATATATTCAAGATGGTTGCCCGTAAAGAAATAACGATATCTCTTAATCCGGAAGGCGGAATTTAACATATAATATATAAAAATCGCCTATCTCGATGAGACAAAGCCATCTATGAAGTCAGATTATGGAAATAGTGGGCATCGATGGTAGCATTGATGGGGGCATCGATGCCGGCATCGATGCTAGCATCGATGCCTGTATCGATGCCAACATCAGTCTGTTACGAATCTAAGGCTGAAATTTAAGGTTTTTGGATAAGATTTCGATCCAAGGGCGTACATTTATTAATGTTTACTATAAATAGGAGTAGAGAGTGAGGGGTTAGTGTGTGTAAGAAATTTTGTATCTCCATATCTCCATTTGGATAGTAGAGTTACTCTTAATTGAGAAGACCTTCTAAAAACTTATAACTTTTTGTTCCAATCAATAAAAGAATTTTTTCACCACTTTAAATTTTCTTCTCTTTGTTTGATGATGATAATGATGATGGAGATGAAGATCAATTTGAAGGTTTTCTTTTCTTTTATTTTTCTCTTTTATTTTTTATTTCTTTTTAGTAATTTCTTTCTTTTTGCTTGTTAGTTTAGATTTACATTCATGTCTTGTAGAGTAGATTTATTTTCTTATCTTTATTTTATGCATTTTTAATTTGTAAAGTAGATTTATTTTCTTACATTTCTATTTCTTTTGTAATTTAGTTAGATTTATTTCTTGTTCATAGTATAAAGTTCATTGTTCTTATTTCTTTTCTTTGTAATTAGTTCTTATTCTTTTCATTTTATTCCTTATTTTTATTTCTTAATATGTGGAACTAATTCTAGTAAGAATCTTAGAATTACATGAAATTAGCTTTATTTCCGTTATATTGTATGAATTATTCTCTTATGCTTAAAATAATTATGTATATGATAATCAACTAGAGAACTAATTGGTAGAAGAAGAATTTGATAATCTATGCTTATCTTGAGTGGTTTGATATGTTATGCTTATGAATTCTAGAATTATTATCTAGTTATTGTTCTTGTCATGAATATTAATTTTGCTTAGATGATAATTTGATAGGTTATACTTTCCTTAAATGGTTTGATAGTCTATACTTAATAAATCTAAAGTAAAATATGATAAAAAAAGAATAGTTCATATTTTGTAATTGAAATTAGCTAGTGGATTCAATTCTATATTTCTCATATTTTTAATTGAATCCTTCATCTTTTCTTTCTTGATTTTTCCTTAGTTCTTGATTTTCTCTTATTTATTTCTTGATTTTTATTTCCTTTATTTTTCTTTTCTTATGTTTTTATTTATTCTTTTATCACATCCACTCTTCATTTCTATCATCTAAAATCTCATTTATTTACTTTTGCACATATTCGCAATACTACTCATATCTCTTCACAATCATATTTATTATCACTCCTAATTGTCACGCACAAAATATAAGAACCGAATCTAATTTTCTCCTACAAACACCTTCCTCTTATCACTCCTAATTGTCACGCACAAAATATAAGAACCGAATCTAATTTTCTCCTACAAACACCTTCCTCGTGGGATCGATAACTTTTTATACTATAACTAAGAACCGAATCTAATTTTCTCCTACAAACACCTTCCTCGTGGGATCGATAACTTTTTATACTATAATTTGATTAGTTGTGCACTTACAACTTTTGGTACATATTTATGCTACATCAAAGCCTGGAAAGGTCCATTGACATGCTGTAAAATGGATACTTAGATATTTGAGAGGATCTGCTAATATTGGTTTGTATTTTGGTAGGAAAACAGACTTAGATTGTGGAATACTTAGCTATTCTGATTCAGATAATATGGGTGATTTGGATAAGAGACGATCCTTGACAGGTTATATATTTACTCTTTCAGGTAGTACCATTAGTTGGAAGGCAACTCTACAGTCGACAAGTTGCTTTGTCTACCACAGAGACAGAGTATATAGCAGTGATAGAATCAGTAAAAGAAGTTATTTGGTTGAGAGGTTTGGTTGAAGATCTCGGCTTACACCAAGGTGTTACTACGGTGTTTTGCGACAGCCAGAGTGCTATACATTTGACAAAGCATCGGATGTATCATGAAAGAACAAAACATATAGATGTTAGATATTATTTTATTAGAGAAATTAAAGTCATCAAGATTGAGAAGATTGGTACTGCAGATAATCTAGCATATATGATGACAAAGCCCATACATTCGCGTAAGTTCGAGCATTACCTCGAATTGCTTAGAGTTCGACAAAGCGGAGGTTAAGCCCGTAAGGGGCTTCTGGCGAGACAGCAAGAGTGAAGAGAAGATCTTTATTTTCAAGTCAAGGTGGAGATTTGTGAAAGTGACTTGAAAAATACGGCTGCCTAACTCTTCATTCTTCACCTAAGCTGCTAAACTTTGAGCGCTTTTATCAAAAAAATCCGCAACAAATTGTCTTCACTCACCTACCCTTTTTATTATTTTATTATTTTTTGTAACCTATATAAGGAGGGGTATGGGAGGATTTAAGATCATCAGTCGGAGAGAAAAAGAAAAGAATTAGCTAGAGAGAAGAGAGTGAGATAGAAATGTTTTGTCCCTTTCTTTGTGAGAGTCTCTAGTTAGAGAGTGCTATTCTCTTTTGTAATCTTCTCTTTTGCTGATTAATGAAGTTCTTTATTGTTCTCTCCCGTGGATGTAGGTCATACTGACCGAACCACGTTAAATTTTGGTGTGCTATTTTCTATTTGTTCACTCTTGTATAGACATCTTCAGTGTTTGTGAAGTCCCTCCGTTGCAACAGTTTCGAAACTTGAAGAATTTCGCACTTGGCAAAGCTTTAGTAAACCTATCAGCAACTTGACCATTAGTGGAGATATAGTTCAATTCGACCACTCCTTCTACAATAGCATCGATGAAGAGATGTCGAAGCTCGATGTGCTTTTGTCTTTCCATGGTGCTGGATTCTTCACCATGAAAATTGTTGACTTGTTGTCACAATAAACTGCAATTGTATATATTGGAGATTGGTGTATATCATCCAAAATTCACCTTATCCAAATAGCTTGACATGTAGCTGATGACACCACAATATATTCAGCCTGTGATAATGATAGAGCTATACTTCCTTGTTTTTTAGAGCTCAGAGAGACTACTCCAGATCCAATGTTGAAAATAAAGCCCCTGGTGCTCTTTCTATCATCTATAAAACTTGCCCAATCACTATCAGTAAAACCAATCAGCTTAAAATTAGGGATTGGTTCATACCAAATACCATAATTAATTGTTCCTCGAACATAGTGAAGAATACGCCTTGCTGCCCCAAGATGATGAACTGATGGATTGCACATAAACCTTGAAACTAAACTGACAAGAAACATGATATCTAGTTGAGTGTGCGTCAGGTACATCAATCCTCTAACCAAACTTCTGAAGAGCTTCTCATTTGCCTTTAGGATCCCATCATCCATATACAACTTCTCATTAGCATTTGCGAGTGTTGAAAAAGATTTACAGCCTTGCATGTTAGGCTTCTTAAGCAAATCTAGAGCATATTTTTCTTGTGAAACAAAAATACCATCATCAATTTGATAAACTTGTAACACAAGAAAAAAATTGCAGTAGACCCAAATCCGTCATCTCAAACTCATGTAACATGTTATTCTTAAATCGTCCATGAAGAACTAGTATAGATAACATGTCATCAACATAAACACAAACCACAAAAACATCATCACCTTGTACCTTCACATGTAAAGTGGGCTCTCTTTCACTACGATGAAAACCACACTAATGTAAATAAGAGTCAAGCCTACCATACCAAGCTCTCGGCACCTATTTAAGTCCATAAAGAGCCTTCTTGACTTTGTACACCTTCTTTTCCTTGCATGTAATAGCAAATCCTTGTGTTTGCTCTACATAGACATCCTCTTCTAAATAACCATTTAGAAACATGAATTTGACATCAAATTAAAAAACTTTCCACTTCATTTGAGATGCTAAAGTCATGATCGTTCTAACAGTTTCAAAGTGAGCAACTGGAGAAAACGTTGTAGAAAAATCTGCTGATGAGGACAAGAAATGGTAATTTTCATATTTGATTGACTTTCTTTTATTTTTGATCTTTGAAATTTAAAATTTAAAATTTAAAATTTCAATTTTAAATTATAAATTTTGAATTTTGAATTTTGAATTTTAAATTTTGAATTTTGAAATTTAGTTGAGTGATTTGAGGGATTATTGTTTTGTTTCTATTTTTTTATTGGACGTTGTGTGCAAGTAGTTTTTCTTTATAAATAATGTTGTATGAGACTATTGATAGGAATGAATTATTGAATGAAGAAATATTTGTTAGCTAAATTTTGGTGTGAAGCCTTGGGTGTGAAACCCTAGGACTCGGGTGTGAAACTCTAGGCTAAATTATTCTTCTCTACCACAAACAGCCGATAAACCTTATTTCTCCTCATACACACTCGCCAAATTTCTTCTCTCCCCCACATTAACAATTTCCAAACCCAGATCCCAACTCCTCTTCATCCCACTCAATCAGGCATCGCTCCTACTCCGAGCAGCCCACGGAATCCCTAGTCTCCACTCCCAAACATCCTAACGCCACCGCCGACCTCATCCCGACACCTACCACTAGTCTCAACCCGACAGGCTGTAGGGTCCTGTTTTTGCTTATGTATACCAAGTGTAGGATCATGACCCTTAAGAATAGAACGCGCTCTTATAAAAATCTATGGAAGCTTTACACATAAACACTAGAGGGTGAGTTTGCAAAGTAGATTATAAATTGCAAAGAAAGAATGGCAATCTCAGAAAAGTGAACATCACAAACACAAGCATGTATACTGGTTCTACCTCCCCGGTGTACATCCAGTCCCCAAGCAAATCCCGTTTGAGAGTTTTCATTATGATTTTGAAACATTACAAAATCAAAAGCAATCCTGACCAATTTGCAAGACCATGCAAATTACAATCCAATTGATAAGACCATGCCAATCGTCACATTGATCTCTAGACCAAGAGATCAACCCTCTCAAACCTGAGAGAACCTTCCTTGAATTAATGTATAATTCTAATCCTATAAGCCTTGATGTGGATATGAACGTGTAACAGTAGCTTATCAATCTTTTTAACTCTCTGAATATTTCGTAAACAAGCTCTAAGAATGATAGGAACAAAGGCAATATTAGAAACTCTCTTTTATGGAAAAACATATCGAAAAACTAAAAGTTTAGAGAGTTAATTTACACAATATGTGAATCTTTCAAGTGCAAAACTTGGTGCTTATTTTCTGATGTTTAAACCTATTTATAGCCTCTGAAATGACATAATTTTAAACCCAATTAACGTCCACAAAACGGCAATAAACAGTCACTTATTCAAAACCTAAAATCTAGAAAAACTACATCTGTAGTCGACTACAAGTCATAGTAGTCAACTACACTGAGTCTAAACAAACTCTGTGAAGTCAGAAAATTGCTTAATAGTTGACTACAAGGCATAGTAGTCGACTACACTGTAAACTCCAAGATTTTGGAATTCTGTTTTTAGAATTTGGTTGTAACTTTCTCATATGACATCAGAATGAGGTGATTTAAGATTTGTTAGAAAGGTGTTAAAGAGACCTACAACTTTGGTCTTTTGTATTTTTCCAGGTTCTAATTGGTAAAGGATATAAATGAAATGTTTTAAAATTCACTCAATATCTATAAACTGTAATAGTTAGCATAGGGGATTTCTATTGTTAATCAACACACTAAGTATGTGTTAGTATATTCTAATACTATGTATGTATATGTGTGTAAATGATCAAGGCTTGTACAAATTTTTAAGCAAAGAAAATATAAAATTATATTTTGACAATAAAGTATATCTTCTTCTTTGCTTCATTTTACCTTGAACTCATCTATGTCTTGAGTATCTCTTTGAATATAATTGTTAATATAGCTTTGATACTGCAAAACAAATATCAGCACATAATACACACAACATATAATATTTATTATCATCAAAACAAACTATTCTTGGGGTCAAATTTTGTAACATTCTCCCCCTTTTTGATGATGACAAATATATGTTATTAAGATATAAAAATTTTAATCCCCCTGCATGAAATCATTAAATAAAATTGTTTACTTCCCCTGCATCAAAGCATTAGTAAAAAATTTAAAATTTTCTATATAACTCCCCCATTGTCATTAGCAAAAAGAAATAAACACAATTCTAGTTAAAATTTTCTTTTCCCGGATACCTTAATCAAAATATTAAGAACTTTAGTACCCTTTTATATTATATGATTAGGATTAGCACTTAGGATTCCAAATCCACTTGGAATTTTGTTTCCATTTATTAAAATTATTAGACCCTAGAGGGGGGTGATTAGGGTCTTATGCTAATCTAATCCGATTTAAATACCAATTAAAATTAATTAACAAGATATCCCAGCAAGAATGAAATACAACAATGAATATAAGCTAGGATAAGCAATATGAACAACAAGATATATCCTAACAAGGAGATATAGGCAATGTATGTGCAAGGATATATAAACTCAAGGGTAAACAATCTAAACTAGATAGCGAGCAATATAATCAACAAGCAATATACAAAGGCGATATGAGATATGAACATAAAAGTAAGTGCGCCAATGCAATCACAAACAAACGATATGATTACGGAGTTCGGTCCCCACGACCTACGTCTCCGCTCCTCACCTCGAGGAGATCTCCACTATCACAACCGGGTTTTCTACGTTCACCCGAACAACGTTTACACCTCACAATACAATCACTATGCAATCACACCTCACACACTAAGTGTTGGTCCTAGCCCGTGTCCTCCTCCTCAAGTGCTCGGTTACAACCTCTCCCTAGGCACGTCAACCGACGCCACTCCTCTTGGATTCGACCCCGTCTCTCACCACACACTTCTCTCGGTGTACAAGTGTATTACAAGTGAATCCTCACAATTAGGCTCAATACAAAGTGTTTGTTCTCTACAATGAATGAGAACGAATTATAAGCTCACTCTCTAAGTTACACAATCCCACAACCCAATTATACTATGAATGTAAATACAATAAGCTCAATAGGTTGTGTGTGAACAAAGAGATAAAGCAATATAAACTCAATATGAAATCTAGCTTATGAAATTAAGAACAAAACTTATAAAATGCTAGAATTGAGTTTAAAGAAAACTTCTCTAAAGAAAACTTATAAAATGCAAGAATGAATGCTCAAACACCAATGATGATCTCCACTTGCTCTTGTGAAATTTCCTCCACAAATCAAAACACTCAAATGCTTAAAAGCTCTTAAACACACTTAAACAAAACAATAAAACCTTAAACCCTTGTTTAACACTTTGTTTAAAAA